CGCTCCACATGTTTTGGACTACACCACCCATGATGCTTTGACAGTATTATGGAAATTGTAATTCACAACATCTGAGTGCTGAAGGTCGCCTACCCCTATCTTATTGCGTTGTTGGGAACAGCAGAATACGTAGACATGTATTGTATCGTAATACCAGCAGAAAATGTTTGGTTCTTGCAAACTGGTTCAGTTTTCAGTCCTGAAGTATTTCTGATGAAAAATGTCCGTTTAGGTTAGAAAATGCGTCTTGGTCCCGAAATATTTGGATGGATCTGAGAATTGCCAGGAAACCCTAAAATGAAGTAGAAAAGGAGACTATAATGTAAAACAAACAAAAAAATCTCAAACTATAAAGTAATGATTCAAAGTTGGGGTTAAGTGGGGGTGACTATTAGCAGTACCCACTGGAAAACTAATTCCGAAATCTGAATCCACTGGAATGTTTCAGCTATCATGCTATTTGGTTTGTTCGGAATTTGGATACATTTCATTTTGGAAGTTCGAATGGACAGCGGATCAGCAGAATTTCCATTCAAAGCGAAAGTTTCGAAAATATAATGTCTTATGGAAAAGATTAAGCATGGGCTACATCATTTATGCCATTGTGCAATAATCACAATATAGTATCGGGGAAAGGGTGGTAGACAATACCACATGATCCCCAAGACCGAGTGTAACAATAAAGTGCACAATATTGAAGAGGAGCCGTAACGTCCCAGGATAACAAATGTATTTTTGTGAGGTCGAAAAAAATAATTAAATGTAGAAATTAATTTGTTGTATTTACTTCCATCGTGGAACTTAATGTAGCCATCTTGGCTGTCTGTCAATAATTATTAAAAGCTCTGCCCGTTACACGTCAGTCAGCCTAGAGAGATCAATAACAGAGATGGAAAGATAACAATGCTTTTCTTCCTCCTCTTATGCAACATGGGCCCTGACTTTGCCAGGATTGAACTCCATTGAAATATATATCTACACCACTGTATAAACCTTGCCATTTGGCAAGAACTCCATTGAAATATATATCTACACCACTGTATAAACCTTGCCATTTGGCAAGATAAACAAGAAGCAACGCATTCATTCATGGAAGGTGACACGGCCAGGACCAGATACTCAGTAGCAGTTCCAGTTTGTTGTGAAGGAGTGTCCATGGTTGATCCCCGTCAATCTATATTGTAACGTTACAATGTTTTTTTAAAGTTAATAACACAAAACTTTTATGGATCCTTTGAGATGAATGGTTGCGAAGAATTCTGTTGTCTCCTTGAGTTTCAGGATGATACTATTTTGCCCGAGGGTGAGGAGATTAGAGATGGGTTAGAAGGTCGCATTATGGTCACTTTCACCAAGTTGTACTAGTTTTGGAATCTCTTAATTGTATAGCAGCACTTAACTGCAAAAGACTAATATTGGGGTTGGAAGGAGTGTAAAAACATTTTTAATGGAAAAGCATTGATGTACTAAGTATCTAAGTATCACTGCTAAAAGGAACCATACTATCACCATCTAAATAAAGAAATTTGAGTGAAAGATAGGTGCTTTATTTTGCTCTTTCTGGAGTTTGGGAGGTTCAAATCTGTCTTACCTGTCTCTTACTTAGAGCAGAATTCTATTTTCTAATTGCTTCATGAGTTTATTTTTACAATGCATTGAAAGATTTTGGATCCATGCTTGGAGTGTGCCTCTACGATTAGTATAACTCTGTGTTACTGGAATGGTGCAATGTGATGTGCTACAAATTCGATACAGTTTGCACTGTCTTTGATGCAGCACAAGCTATGGCTCTCTTCCGACCTCTACCCCCAAATACTAGGTCTCCTATCCACGTATAGGTTGTTCCTTGCTACTTCTGGAATGGGGCTGTCTCAAATGTACGCGGCAGGATCTCTCTTGAGCTGACGAAGGGACGGTTCAAAAAAAAATTACAAACATTTGTTCTTCGAAGTGCTGGAATGCTCTCTATAAAGTATTTAAAAAGTAAACTGAATAGGTTTGGATATCTCGGGCATTCTGAATTCTGGTCTCAGGATTCCCTTTCGTACCTTTTTTATGGTCAACTTTGGTTGAGTTACAAGTCACGCAAACAGAGGCATGCATGTGCTGGACTAGCTCAATCAAAATTATTTAAATAATTGAACTCCGTTGGTTGATATTTCACACAGACACACACACAATTTGTGTGTGTGTGTTTATTGTGTGTGTGTATGTGTGAAAT